ATGGTACACTGTCTGATCTAGTGTCCCCTGACAGCTCAGGGCATGCGTATGACCCAGAAGCAGGCTGCACTGGTGGCAAAATCACAGACCAGTGGTCCTGTGTCCCCTGGCAGATCAGGGTGCAGGCAGAACCCAGACACAAATCGCAAGGTGAACAGTTTGTGGACCACCTGATTCTGTGTCTCCAGGCAGCTCAGGGCATGCACAGGAGCTAGATGTGGGCTGCACTGGCAGTAATCATGGACCACCTGTGTCTGTGACCTCCAGGAGGTCAGGGCCCAAGTAAAACTCAGATGTGAACTGCAGTGCCAGCAGTTTGTGGACTGCCTGCTCTAGTACCACAGGTGGTGCAGGGTATGCATAGTGTGGGCTCTAACGCAAACCCTGGTGTTAGCAGTTCGTGGGCCTTCTGAGTTAGGATCTCCTGTCTGTACCGGGCACAAGGAAGGTGGAGACTCAGTGAGCCTTTCCTTGTAATTGTGTTGGTGGGCAGGAGAGGCTCATGCTACCTAATTATGGTTTGCAGTTCCTTAATGCTTAATGGTGAATGAGGTTCACCACCTTTTTGCACACCTACTGGCCCTTTAGATATTTGCTTTTGTCATGTATGTATGGTGTGTGTGTGTGTGTGTTGTTGTTGTTGTGGTGGTGGTGGTCTCTTGCCATTTTCCCACTGTATCATCTGTACTTTTCCTGTTGGTTTGAAGAAGTTTTTTATATGTTATAAATAATAAAAGCCTCCTATCACTTTAATTTCCAGTTTCAGAATTATTGAGTTTTATCCATGTAGGTTTTTTTCTTTTTTTCTTTTAAAGAGAAAAAAATTTCAAAACAAGATAACAGGAGGGTAACAGTGGTTAATACATTGTGTATTGTTATCTTTAAATTAGTTACTCAGGGTACAAGATATCAGCATTTAATTGTCCAAACAATATTAACACAAACCTTTCTTTTCAATGAACTAAGAGAAATTAGTAGTATAACTATCTTAACTATTATTTATATATATATTTTTCTTTTCCCCTCCTTCTTTTCTCCATTCCCCCAACCAAGTTTCTCTTTCCTTTTGAAGTTTCTTCCCATTTTGCAGTATCTGTTGTACATTTTGGATCTTATTTACTCTTTGAGCTTCTCCCACAAGGCAGACAGTCACCTGCATTGTTGCATTTATCAGTAGGTACGCCTCTGTTTTTTTTTTTTTAACTACTGAGGGGCATCCTGTTACATGATATATTATACCTTGTTCATTCATTTTCCTATTGGTAGACATTTAGGTTATATTTAGTTTTGAGCTATTACAAATCAAATGGGTATGGATTTTTGTGTTTGTGTCTTTTGCTATATAAATGTCAGATGTCTCATACTGGCTAACTACTCCTCAAGTCTCATATTCTTGGTAATTTTATGTCCACTTATTCTGTCAATTACTGAAAGCAGTTTGTTTGTTTGCTTATTTATGTATTTACTTATTGAGATGGGATCTCACTATGTAGTGCAGGCTGGCCTTAACCTCACGGTGATCCTCCTGCCTTAGCCTCACCAATGCTGGGATCACAGGCATGCACTACCACGCCTAGCTTAAGAGAGGTGTATTTAAATTTGTGACTTTAATTGTGAATTTTTCAGTTTCTTTCTTCTAAGATTTTGTTCCATGCATTCTGAAACTCTGTTGTGGAGCACATAGATGTTCAGTACTCTTGTGTCCTCTTGATGTATTGGCTCCATTTATTCTATATGACTTCTTTATCCTTGGTGATATTCTTTGCATTGACCTCTCCCTTGGCTACTTTCTGTTCTCAGTAATGTCAGCATGTTGTATCTTTTACTTTTCCCTTCACAGCCTTTGTGTCATTATTGCCATGCATTTTTCTTCCATGTATGTGAAAAACCTTCCAACCCAAGAGATTCAAGCATCAAGAAAACATCTCACACATATATCAAGGCAGGAACATTTTGGTGCTCCTGTTTTGTGTAGCTTCTCAGATGTCCATCATTTTCTTTGTGTAGCATTTTCCTCTTTCCTAGAGCATTCATGCTGATAAATTATCTTAGCTTTTTTCTGCCTGAAAACTTTTATTTTGCTGTTTTTGAAAGATATTTTTACTAGGTAAAGAATCCTAGATTGACAAGTTTTTCTGCAGTATTTTAATATGTTGATCTACTGTCTTTCCAATTACAAAAGTATTGTTATTTTTATGAATTCAGTCTGTCAGTTTTTTCTCTGGCTGCTTTTAAGATTTTCAATTTCCACTCCTTTTGAGCAATTTGATTGTGATATGTCTTGGTGTAATTTTATCTATTTTTGAAGTTCTGTGAGATCATAGTTTTCATCAAATTTTGAAAAATTGCAACCAGTATTTCATTAAATATTCCCTCCCTCAACCTTTCCATGTTCCACTTACTTGTCTATTAGGCCACTTCAAATTTTCCACCACTCGCTGATAACCTTTCTGTTTTATGTATGTGGACTTTACTCTGTATGTTTCACTTTGTATAATTTCTATTACTATTTCTCCAGATCTAATTATTCTTTCATCTGCAATGTCTAATATGCTGTTAATTCTCTGAATTTGTTTTTCATCTCATTTTAGTTTGCATCTGTAGAAGTTAATTGTCTTTTTTTCGTAATTGGTATTGAACCCAGGGTCTCAGACATTCTAGGTACATTCTTTACCAGTGTGGTACAACTCTAGCCCTTTTCATTTTCAGACAGTGTTTCACTAAGTTGTCCAGGCAGGTACTGAACTTGTAATCCTCCTGCCTCAGGCTTCCAAGTAGCTGGAATTATTGGCATGTGCTGCTTGCTTCCCCTTGCTTAGATTCAGTTTAAAAATCAGTCTTCTATGTATCTACTTAACTTTTTAAATGTGTGGGAAAAGCTATAATTAAAAAAAATTTTATCTAACTTTTGAGTCAGTCTGTGCCATTTTTCTGTGGTACCTTATTTCTCTTTGTTTTTGATCAAATGGTTTTGTCTCCTTGAATACATGCTCACTTTTGATTGAATGCTGGACGTTATATGAGAAAATGTAGCAAGAAGCTGAGACTCTGGGTGATTTCCTCTTCACCCAGACAGAATATAGGTTTGCTGCTGGTTGTTGCTCATGCTAAGGGCATGCCAGAACCACCTTGCCCTAGTCAGAGATCAAGGTAGTTCATAGCTGGCTCTAGTTTTTGTGAGAGCTGTCCTTTTTTCAGTTGGCCTTTATCTTTGAGTTTTATACGTTTTAGCCTCCCATTCTAATGCTGGGGATTATTAACATGTGCAGAAAATTTGTTAAAATCCATTCATACTGTTTTAGAAAGATGCAGAGTTCCCAATATGAGGGCACCCAACTGTGTTTCAGAAGTACTGTAGAAGTGACAGTGGCCTTTGTCATTCTCTCAGTAGGCTATTTCTGCTTATGTCTTGAAAATGAGACATTTGACCATTTGGGGCTAAAAGCACATATACTATTTTGTTCTTTTAGCCCTATAAATGGTCAGATTCTCCTTGGCATTTTCTGGAGTGTCAGAAAGTTGACTGTATGGTACATACCTTCATGGCACAAGTACCCCCAGGGATTGGGGTTACCTTCTTCAGTTTTCTTCTATAGGATCTTGGTATCATAATTCTCTAGCACCTCTATTGCTTTCTGATACTTTAAGAATGTTGTTGTTATTATTATTTTTACAACTTTTTCCAGTATTCTTACCCAAAAAATTGGTGCAGATGAACCAGCCTGCTGTGATCAGAAGCGGCACTTTCCTTGTCCTCATTAGAATAACATCTCTGTTATTTATCTGATATCAACTTGCATGTGCATCTGCTTTCCATGGACCAAATGGTCCCGACCCATCTGAGTCTCTTCCTGCCTTCATTTGCATTTCCTTTCTTTTCATGCTATCCTTTCAGTCTGTTGCACTGAGTCCGTGTGTGTTGTCCTTCTCTTTATCCCTCTATGTCCATTGGTCCTGGAGTCTTCTATCCTTCTGCTTCTCTCATCTCCATCACCACTGACTGCTCTGCCTGGGCCGGTATCGTGTCCTCCCTGAACAGTTTGCACATTCCCGTCATCTCCCTGGCCCACTGAATCCCCCTTTAGTCTCTGCTGCACAATAGTGTGTTATGGTTTATAGCTAATGTCCCCAAAGCCTCCTGTGCTCAGAGGCAGGGCTGGTAGTGTGGGATTGGACTGTGGGAGCGTTACAGCCAGCTTGGTGTTGGGAGGTGGGGTCTGGTCAGAAGTGACTGGCCCCTGGGAGAGCGGCCTGGAAGGGCCCCTCTCCCTGCCACCACTTTCCTTCGCTCTCTGCTTCTGCCTGCCATAGGTGAGCCGCTTTTCTTCCACTGTGCCCCTCGGCCCTACTTTTTTCTGTTTGGAGCCTGCAGTTGTGGACTGAAGCTTAGAACGTGAGCCACAGTGAACCTCTGCTTCTTTGAGTTTCTGGTGCCAGGTATTTTGTTCCAGCAGTAAGAAAAGGGAGTAAGACATGGTAGCAGTGTTGTGTTCCTCTGCTCACACACCTCTGCTGGCCCCAGTGCCCTTGCACACTGGCCACCTCCACGTAAGTGTCAGTGTCAAGCCCACAGCACCTGTTTCCGGCCTCACCTGCTCTCTGCAGGAGCCAGCAGGGCCTCCAGCCCACTTGCCTCCCAGGCCGGGTGTCTCCTGGCTTAGCTGCTTCCTCTATAGCAGCGCACTTAGCTGGCCCTCTCTGCCTGCAGTGAGGACTCCTCTTGCATCTGTTTGTTAGCAGACTGTGGAGAAAGGGAGGAATGGTGCTGCCCGCATCACTGTCCGTGAGTGAGGTGGGGTGGCTGTGGAAAGGCTCACCCGAGAGGATTGTCCAGGAGTACAGAAGTCAGAATTTTTGTGAGCAAATTCAAAAGAGTATAGGCAATGCATATATTTGATAGTTTTAATCTACCTAATTTCTTATGTTTTGAAGTTATACTTTTGTTCTTTTATTTTTAGATATTGTATGTAACTTTGATAGTTTTGTTTCTGATCTTTTAGCTTTTAATCCTACAAGGACATCTGCAGTCAATTACTGCTATCGCTTTTGGAAATCAAGAGACCCCGTCTCTCATCTGTTCTGCGTCGCAGGATTTTGTTATGATGTGGAACCTGGAGGAGTGCAGAGAAAAGATAATTCAAGGTAAATAAAAAGGCACAAGTCATTTGAAAATATTTAAAGGGACTGACGCACCTGTAAACTTCCTTGGCCACGTTAGGGGTGCGGCTGTCTGGCACACCTCCCGTCCGCCTTTCTGACTTCGGCGACACGGCCTTGGGGGCTTATTCTTCCGAACGTTCCCACTTTAAACTCCGTACTTCATGGTTTGGAATGTGCAGCAGGCCGGAGTGTTTCTCACACATGGCCGTCCCTGGGCCTCTGTTGCGTGTTTGGCTGAAGACTCACAGGTCTGGGAGGCGGGGCTGAGAGTGCGAGGCAGACAAAGTGTGTACCCGGGGAGCTCCAGGCTGTGCGGTGTGGGAGAGCAAACACGGGGCGGGGTGGGGAACATAATGAGAGCATGAGTATCCCCTTGTTACTGGGAAGCTGGGTTCTAACACAGCGAGGCCCACGCCCCAAGGAACTGGCAGTGTCATTCAGGGCTTTCTAAGAATATCGAGTCAGATGCTCTATATAACATCTTCTAATACCACACAGAGAATGAAAATAAGAGGCCACATAATAATAACGGTCACACAAATGAACATATGGTGGGTCCATCTGGTTTGGAACCCAGGGAGGTTGGCAGCACTGCCAAGAAGTTTTATTCCTCACCGTTGCACATAGGGACTATCCAAGGTGCAGCAACCAGTCCAGCCAGGGGCAGCCAGGACCACAGATTGCGGCCGCAGAATCACTGAGGACCATCGAGTCAGCCCAGCGTCTTCCAGGCCTTGAAAACCAATCAGTCACAAGATGACGTATATGGACTTTGCTCAGGGGGCATCTAGCCCAAATATTTGGTAGTACTGCACAGGGCGCAATGGGGCTGTTTGTGTTGTTCTCAGCAGAGGAGCCGTCTGACTCTGGTACCACGTGGTGGGAACGAACTGTCCATAGTCACCCATATTTAAGGATGTCCATCCGGTAGAGAAGATTACTGTTTCTGACCACAGAAAGGAACGGGCCACTGAAAAGAAGAGGCTTGGCCTCTTTTCAAATGAGGGCAGCAGTTTCATTCTTCGAGAGGTTTTTCTCACTTCCATTGTAGTCCAGGGCTGAATCCAGGCCATTGGTGTGTGTCTGTCTGAATGAGTAGAACACGTAATATCACAGACTGTTGTTGTTCTGCACCTATATAGCCTTGTAATTTATTCCAGTCATGGCCGCCCTGATGTGCGGGCAGCGGGGGGCAGCCCCCACGGCCAGCATGCGTCGTGTTTCGTATCATGGGCGTATTACTGAGCCCAAACAAGGACGGAGCTGGATTCTTCTGTAGTGTGGCAAATTAGAGACGAAAGCCTAGCGGGGGCAAAAAACAAAACATAGCTAATCAAAATCAATGGTAATTGAACTTCTCAATGAACAAGAGGGTAAGTATAAGAAGAGTGTGATTAGGAGAATACTCAAGGTGCACATAGCCCTCTGCTGGAAGGTGGCTGTGTGGGTGGAGTGAGGTAGGTCTGGCAGCTTCGCTAGGTGAGACCCATAGGTTAGGTGGGACCATGTCTAGGGGTTTGAGTGTATGAGGTAGGGTTACTCTAAACATTGTGGGTAATGAAGACTGTAGGTCTCTCAAACTGCAGGCCACACCCAGCCTGGGGACGGCGTAGCCTGGTCCTGCAGGAACTTCCGTCGTAGACTCACTGCTGCTTTGTCCTACCCTTCACACCTTGGCCCAAATGTCTTCCTGCCATGGCTCCTCTCGGTGCCACCTAGCACCTGGTCCCCTCCCACTGGCCTGTCCCCTTGGCACATGCTTCCTTTCAGCAGTTTCAGGAACTCCTATCCCTATCCTGGCTGGCTGTGCCTCCTGCTCACCTGCTGTGTTAGAGATGGAGGGAAGCGGCCTCTGTCTGTCTGGTGGCTGTTCGCAAGTGGGCCGCCCAGTCAGGGAGGCTGGTGTGGTGCATGTGCCATGGAGCATGCCCACAGGATGGCCCGGACACACCTGCGTTCCATAGACACACGCATCATTCCCTTCAAGGACCTTGCTGGCTCAATACTTGTCCCTGCTGCATAGCAGGGCTTGAAGATGGGAGCCCTCTCCTATGTCCACATGTCGAGGGCTGCTGTGTGCGCTCAACTCAAAGCTGCAGTCATCTGGGCCAGCTTTGTCCATACGGTTGTCACTGTCACCCCAGGCTGGCTTGGAGATGACCTCATGGGGGTGCAAAGCCCCAGAGGCGGTGGCTCTGATGGCACACTGCCTCTCTGCCTACCCAATGTGACAAGGGCAGATCCTGTGGCAAGACCTGGGGTGAACACAGGGAGAAGAACTGGGGCACTCAGCTTAGTCTGTGCAGCATGCCCCAGATTCCTGCAGCCCAGCAGAAGAGACCTGTTGTTGATGATACCGCACTACCTCCCTGCAGAGAGGTTGTGTGTTCTGAAGGCTTTTGAAGACTTACTGGTGTTTGCTGGTTTAGATCCTTTGAAGGAACCCAAATCATAATTCCATGGTGGTACATGCCTATAACCTGAGCTACTCAGGATGCTAAGGCAAGAGGACTACAAGTTCCTGCCCAGCCTGGGCAATTTAGTGAGCCCTGTCTCAAAAGAAAATAAAAAGGACTGAGGATGATGTAGTTCTATGATAGAGTAGCTGTCTAGCATGTCTGAGGACCTAGCATTGCCAAAAACAGAACCAAAATCATATTTGAGTTCATTAGAACTCCCCGTACAAACTTACATGCAGAACTGTGGTGTCAGCCCTTTTCTCATGACGTGATATCATGTTGCAGGTTTGATGAACTGATGCTCATGTCTGAAATTCCCTCTAGGGATGCTTCCTCGAGGGACTGTTATGAGCACCCTTCTGGGGAAAGTGCTGTGTTTGAGATTCAGTCCAGACGATCATGTTATTGCAGTCGGTTCTGGAAACACCGTATTCACGCTGGATGTCAAGGTAAGACTTAGCAGACTCAGCGAAGCTCCCTGGAGTGCAGAGCTGATGGGGTTTCTCAGTGGCAAGATCCTGCCCGCTTTTTCTTTTTCTGTTCTCCTTTTATAACTAGAGTTTTCTGATGCAGTTTTAGAGAGATGTTATGGAAAAATATGAAAACACATCTTTATTTTGCAGTTTGTATAAAAACGTCATAAGAACTTTATAGGAAACCTGGCCTTAACAAGAATGATTTTAACAAATGTGCTTAGTTTATCTCTCACATTCTTTCATGCAGCGATCCCCACAGTCATCTGAAGGCAGTGCTTCCTCATCTCTGCCAAAATTCTTGGCTTCCAGCAAGAACCACACTTCTTACTTACTCTTTAATTGAAACGAGTTAAGTAAATCAACCTACATCTTGTAGGTTGTTGATTTTACATCCAGTATCTGCAACTGCTTGATCCATGATAGAGTAAGGTCAGGGGTCACAGAGCAGGGGTGGGACCTGGGGGAGTGTGAAGGGGGACTTTGGCTCCTTGAAGTTGTTTCTGCTTGAATTCCAGTATGGCAATTACCCATGGGCTGGATTTTATCTTGGCTTCTGTTTACAGATTAGTGTAGGAAAACAAGAGATGTCATTTCTGTGTACTGCAGTGTTTGAGCGCATTGTCAAATGAGGCCCCCATGAAGACAAGTCAGCCACTTTGTGTTAGCTGTAGTAGGGTAGGGTGTGTTGTGCAGCTTGGTAGAGGGCTTGAAGCGTTTCCTGTTCAGTCTGCTAAAGCCCCCAGGATAAGTTAGTGATTCACCTCCAAATACTTGACGTGGTGCTTGTGCAAACATCTTGCGGTGAATGAATGAGTAGCGTGAGGGCAGTCAACCATAGAACAGAATGAATCACCCAGGTGGAAGGAACTGCTACTATAATGTCAGAAGAAAGGAAAACCAAAATACAGGAGGGGAAATACTTAAGACTCCTAGCGACTGAAGGAGGATGAGGAGTCCACAGGAGGAAAATGATAAACAGAGGTTTATGTCTCAGCTACACATCTCAAAGTCCTTGCAAGTGAAGGGTGAGGCTGCAGAAGCCCACCTGATGGACAGATGGCCTGGAGTAGCCTGTGCTGCCTTGGCCCTGGCGTGGGACATGAGAGAAAGTACAAGGGACGAGCGGAGGGAGTGGACACAGGTGAGGGGGCTGCCAGTGAGGGGAAAAGCCACAAGTGGGACACAGGAGAAGGTACCACGGGGGCGGTGTGGTGGAATGGGCGAGTGGGCCAATGAGGGAAAAACCAGTGAGCATGTGTGAGCGTGTGACACAGCAGGAGGTACCAAGGGGACAGTGGACACAGGTGAGTGGGCTGCCAGGGGCAGAAAAGCCAAAAGTGTGAGACGTGAGAGGACGCTGAAGGGGCAGCGTGGTGCAGTGGGAAAGCGGCTTGTCGTGGGAAGCTAGACCGAGATGACAGCATAGTGGACATGAGCAAGTGGCCTGTCCAGCTGGGGACAAGCCTTTAGGGTGCAGGATGTTAGAAGATGCCAGAGGGACAGCTGCGGACATAGGCAAGTGGGCCGCCCAGTCAGGGTACCGACCACGAGTGTGTGAGATGTGAGACCTTGTTGAGGGGACGGCGTAGTGCACATAGGTGGGTGAGCTGTCTTGTGAGGGAACAAGCGTGAGCCTGCGACATGGGAGAAGTTGCTGATTGGACAGCGTAGTTGACATGGGTGAGTGAGCTCTCCAGTCAGTGAGAAGCCACGAGCACGTGAGATCTGAGAAGATTCTCGGGACAGTGTAGTGTGTGTGTGTGTGTGTGTGTGTGTGTGTGTGGCTGTCTGGTAAGGGAACAGGCTTTGGACAAGGGACACATGAGACTACTGAGGGGACAGTGTCGTGGGCGGAGTGAGTGGGCTTTCCAGTCTGGGAAGAAGCCACACGCACGGAGGTGTGAGAGGACGTAGCGGGGCCAGTGCAGCAGACACGTGTCAGTGCTCTATCTAGTCGGGCAAATCGTAAGTATGTGATGTTGCAGAAGTCACTAAGGACAGCGTAGTGGACGTGGGGAGTGAGCTTCCCAGTCAGTGAGAAGCCATGGGAGTGAGTCTGAGAAGATGCTCTGGGAACACTGTAGTGGACATGTGTGTATGTCTGGAAAGGAAACAAGCTACGAGCAAGTGACACGTGAGACCATAATGAGCGGACAGTGCGGTGGACGTGGCTTAGTGTGCTTTCCAGTCAAAGAATAAACCACAGGCGTGTGATGTATGAGAATGTACCGAGGGAACAGCATGCTGGACATGGGTGAGTGTGCTGTGCAGTCAAGGGACAAAAGACTAGTGTGTCACATGGGTGAGTGTACCGAGGGGACAGGGTAATGGACATGAGTGAGTGCACTTTCCAGTAAGCCTGTGACATGTGAGAACACCCTGAGAGGGGTCAGTGTAGTGGAAGTGGGTGAAGGGGCTGTCCAGTGAGGGGCCAAACCTGGAGTGTGTGACATGTGAGAACACAGCGAGGGAAGAGGGCAGTGGGGACCAGCTGTGCACTTGTGACGTGGGAGTGTACCGAGGGGACGGTGTGGTGGGTTTGGATGAGTAGGTTAAGCCCCAGGTGTTCTGATTTCATCAGAGCACTTGAGAGGGAAACTGTCCATCTTACTGGCTTTGAAAGATTTCCAGCAGATACAGAACACCTTTTCAAACATTTTAAAATGCAACAACTTACAATGTTTTCTGGGATATGTTGTTGTTTGCAGAGAATTGAGTAGCTTTACTTCATAGAGCTTGGAGGGAATAGGAATCTGCTCTTTGTAGTCATCTCCTAACTAACCAGATTCGGACCTGTGGACTCGGTGTTACACAGTCCATGCTCTCTTCATCCATTCGGTTCTGTTTAGTTAAACAAAGCCTTCAGAGTTCAGTGTCTTTCTTTAAGTCCTGTCTCTCCGTCTTCTTTGCAGTATGGCTATTTCTCTTGTGCACAAAGAGGGGCATAAAGCTGAGGGACAGTGCCCACCCCTCGATGCTGAGCCCACAGGACAGGCTGTGGGGTGGCTGTGATATGCAGGAGCCCTGGCCTCTCACAGCCCCAGTTCTTATCCCTTGGTAGGGACTGTGCGCTGGTGACATTAGCTTCTGTGTGCTGCCCACATTGTGAGAGGTTTTAGAGGTGAGAACCCTGGAGTAGCTGTTACTAGCTTCTTATGTTTTAGTGACTCCCTAGTATAGAACAGATGCTGAAGGAAAGGGAAAGTAGGATAGACTGATAGACGGATGAATGAATGGATGCATGGATGGAGGAGAAAGAAAGACAGAGGCAGCAACAGAGACAGACAGACAGACAGACAGGGAGACAGAGATAGAGGCAGTGACACAGACAGACACAGAGACAGAGCCAGGCCAAGACAGAGATAGAGGCAGCCACAGACACAGAAACGGAGACAGGAGCAGAGATCGGAGAAAGAGACAGAATGAGAAAGATGCACAGAGACAAAGACAGAGACTGGGAGAATCAGGCAGACACTGGAGAATACAAGTGTTAGTACCCACCCCCACCCACCCTGTGGGAGTCTGGGGAGCCCAGCAGCGGAAAGTGTCACAACGGGATGCAACATGTGGAACCTGGGGAGACAGAGTCATGAAGGTACAGCTTCCCGTTGAGTGCCGGGTGAGCTTTGGTTGGCTTTTATCTTCTAGAGGTGCAGACAGTGTGGGGTGACTGTGCACCCCTCAGGTTCAGGAACCTTGAGAGTTTAACATGTAAGTTTATAGAGGGATGCAGTAGTTCTACATTTAGAAGAAGTGGCTTGAAGGTAGTTATTTCAACAGAACTGTAAACAGGGAAATTGTGTGTGTGTGTGTGTGTGTGTGTGTGTGTGTGTGTGTGTGTGTGTGTG